AGAACGGAGATGCCACACACACCGTGGACCGCGTTAAATCCGCTACTAACAAGAGGTAATTTTCTTCCCTCGGAACATTTTCTCCGTCAAAATATTTAATAGCCAGCGAGATATTCTTCTTCTCCCTTAATGAGCTAGAATTATACTCGTTACAATTACAATATATAATTCGATACGCATTTTTTTTATTTACAAATACAGGAGACTAAATATATTTAGTTCATTAAATAAATCCTTATTTATCGAAAAGCCAATGAACACTTTTACCCAGTCGAAAAGGAAGCATTAGCAAAATTCACTTTCGTTGAAGTCTTGGTTCATCACGCGATCCTAGCGGAAGACTTTTGCGAGATAAGTATGTGAAAGTGCACTAACAGAGAACCTGGGAACGAAACGACGGGCGGAATCGATAACTTTTCGGAGAAGAAACTTTGATATTTGCCCGCTGAGTGTTTGCATCCCGCATGCCGTTGAGTTCACAAGAACTCTCTCTCGCTCGTTGACGTAAGTCTAGTTATTCCGGCGAAATAATTCGGGCAACATGTATCGACGCCCGAAACGAATGACACGAACTATCACCTTTGTAAACTTTCTCGACTGACAAGAGGGATTCTTTGATATTTCCCGTCGGATTTAATTAAAATGACAACAGGGCTGAAGATGGTACTTAAGTTACTCCCTCGGCCGACATTATGTTCCGACGCACGACAGCAACGAAAACTTAACCATAAACGAGATTCGTAAACTTGATGAAATTTGAAGCTAATTCGCGTTCAAGTCTCGACATCGTACCGCGATGTCGCTATTAATTAAAATCTTTGTCTCTCCCGTACGTTTATATCCTCGAAATAAAATTGATCGAAAGAAAAATTTGTTTTTGACAATCGGAGTATTAAATAACGATTGCGACCCTCATTGTCAGTCGAAAAGGAATAAATGAAAAAAATACGAACAACGTCTCTAGTGAGATCAGCATTTGCTGATTTACGTAGACTGGTGTTTTGTTGACTTAACGGTGTGTTGAGTTCAGTAAATTCTCTCGTCGCATGAAATGAAATGCCCGACCTCTTTCTTCGCCGTGAAAAGAAGAAGTTACGTAAATTTATTTTTCCTACGAAACGAATGTAAATAAGTGCAGCTTAGCAAATATGCGACGAGGCATGCCGAAAGTTCGAGTTTTGTTGAAAACTCGAGGGATTCTCGATCTCTAAATGCGCTTTGCGCGTTCTACATAGTCTCGTACCGACATTAGCGAAGGAAGCTATTAGTAATATACATATATATCTTCTTTGCAACTAATATCTTTGAGTATATTCAGAATCGATGTGTAAGAAATATATATATATGTATATAGGAGAGAAGGAGAGTGTCTAATATATCTGAAACCAACTTTGTGCATATAAATATATATCTCTTGTTAATCTGGGAATAGTGATTAAACGGAACTGATAAGTCAAATTTATAGTCATACTCTATGTCAAACTTGCACACAATAATCGTGTTAAACTATAATAAATATATCATAGTATTCCTCGTAGTAAATTCAAAAGTCTATAATTGATTTATACAATTTTTTAAACCTTTCTCTGAAATAAAAACATTATTTAAACGCGAAGAAAAAAAATTAATTTATAATTTATAAAAAGATCATAAAGTGTAAAAATATGAATAATTATATAATTGATAGTTCTTATCACACATCTTAGAATATATATCAAGTCATGCAAATTTTGAATAGTAATTATTGCTATAATTTATTCATAGTTGCCTGCGTCAGTGAATGTCATAATTAAATTAATGAGCGGAAAGCGAATCGCTACCAAACTTCAACGCGATGTCGACGTTTATGAGAAAATGCAAGCTGCAATATTATGCAGTGAGTGAGTTTGATCGATAGCCTCTGGACTTTCGCAATTAGAACGACGCTCGTCTCGGAAGAATGGCACTGTTGGTTGAAGTTATCGATACTATGTTTTTCTCTGCCGAAAGGAACACGAAGAAACGTTTCAACTTCGCGAGATAGTTTAAAAGTACGTTTTCTGAACAACAAGCAACCTTTTGTGTTCGGCAAAGTGACGCTATAAAAAAAATCGCCCGCGATGTGAAAAACAACCGATCGAAGTTAAATCAAACGGCGCCCTCATTCGAATTAAGTTCTTTAAATTAATTGCGCCTTATAACTAAAACAATAGCAGCAAACAGTGCGCGTTTGCTTAGTTTACGAGTCGCGTGCTTCTTACTGAAACAGTACCATACGATAAGAAGGGCCGAGGTAAAAGCCGGAAATCAATGAATATGATTTTCGTGATGGTGGTTAGAAAGAAATTTCTTTCTCAAAGATTAAAGTTGCAATTAGATATCCTTTCGGAGAGAATTGCGTTTCCTCTTTTCTCCGGAAATATTAGATGTCGAGTTGTAAATGAAATTCGATTATATATGGAAATAAGTTATAAATACCTGACACCAGAGGAAAATTATAAGACGCGTCTATCAACTTCGAAAACTCACCTGAAAAAAAGATAGAAAATATAACATTAGAAATTCTGTTTGAATTAATAAATAGTCTTACATAATTCAGAGATAATTTATTTAATTAAATTATCTCTGTTTTAAAAAGCTTTTTTCGTGTGACTTTATTGCTTCTCTTCTCATGAACAATAATTTTATCTTATTAATTTAATGCGCGCTTGCATTATACTAACAGATTTAACATTAAAACATGAAAGTTTAAATTGTGAAAAATTTGAGAAGATAATCAGCAAATTTATAAAGATTATAACTTGTGTACTAAAAGACACAAAATGCATATTTCTTGAAGATAATGACAGGGATCGCGACAAGTGGAAAGAAAATTTGATGCCGCAAGCAAACCCGACGGCTATTCTCGAACACTGCGGATTGGCACATTGCGAGATGGCTTCGGCACTTTTAGGCCTCGAGTGCAATCGATGTAGCCGCGAAGTCTAGAGAAAGAAATCTCGATCGCGCCAGAAAAGATGCCACATCGAGTTGCTCAGCGATTCGAACGTCGCTGAGAATATCAATATATTGTCTCTCCACGATGCGATCTTGAGAGAACGAGAACGATCGGCCAGGATCGAAATTCACGCATTAATACATTGTATGCAAAATTGGATCTAAATACATTCATATGCAAAATGTGGTTTAAATACGTGGCACGTAGAATCGTTTTTACATATATCGTGATATGATAAAGATAATTGAGACGTCAAAATTATGGCACGAAAAATTTGACGCTTTTATTACATTTTTGAGATATCTTTTTTATATTACAGAACAATTCAATATTTTAATTGAAAAATCTACTTAAGATATATTTAAGATATAGTTTATAGAAAAAAATTGATTTTAATTTTAACAAAAACCCGTTGTTAAAAATTGATATGGGAGAAATATTGAGACTTGTACATTTCACAAGAGTAAATAAGGATATAAAAATATCTCAAAGGAAAGAATATTTGTGTCAACTACAAAGATGATTCAAGGAGAAAAACAACTAAATAGGAAAGTGTTTGAAGAAAGAAACAATATCGATCATCGATTATTTATCTAGAAATAAAGCAACGCGGTTCTATTCTTCTCAGTTATTTGAACTTGAATTTCCATTTTTTGTGAAGCGTGGAAGCGTTACAAAAGAGGCAAACAAGTCGAGTGCATCGCGCATAAAGATTCGCAAGGAAACGCGGAGATGGTATCATCATCGAAAATGTTCCCAGAACCTCTCTTCTCTCTCAAGTTTTGCTTTTTCTGCAATGCTCGAGATAAAAACGTATATGCAGATTCAGCACGAAAATATTTCTCGATCTATTGCCGAATTTTTAAAAGAGAGGTGAAACCGCACAAATCATACAGCCTATACGCGATCGGGTTTTTTTGCTGTGACTTTTAAATATTTCAAGATAAAATTAGTAAGCATACCTAAATTCCTATCTAATTTATCAATATGTGATAAATCGGAGAAAATCAATATAGAAATTGCTTTCCTAAGATAGAAAGATCGTTTATAATCACTTTTAATTTTTTGATAAATTCAATAGGTAAAGAAATCAATTGTTCGTATTCCATTTTTTAAAATTTTTTTTAGAAAAATGACATTTATGTTGTGGTAAATGTGTAAATAAAACGATAGCATGCGAGTGGACCAAACGTGGCTATTAGCTTTCTCTGTGCCACGCGACCACGGGACTGTCTCCGCTTTCGACCGAGCTATCTAGGATTTCCCAGTCGACCTCCGTCATCGAGGTATTCCCAGCAACTTTGTGAACTCGATTCCTCAAAGAGTGATGATCAACAACTGCGAAACCCAAGAGTGCTTTTCCAATGCGAAAATTCCATCGAACTTCTTCTATTCCGCCGAGTACTCGCAGGGGATTATGATCGAATGTTTTGATACGATAGCAAAGAATCTCTCTCTCTCTCTCTCTCTTTCTTCATATCTATCTAATCTCAATCTCTCGTTTGCTAGGAATAAGCCCTGGTTTTTAGAAGAGTTTGTTTGTCCTGAATTTTTTAACCCTTCGTAGAAACATCTCGAATGAAAATAAAAATAAAATAGCTTTACGTTCTGACCGTCTTTAATAACATCCAAATATAAGAGTCTTATTTCAATAGTTGTTGAGAATATTTGGTTGAAATCATAAAAAACTTAGTCTAACTTTAATTTAATTTTAATGATAAGTAACACAACTTATTACACGGATAATTATTTCTCATTTAAAGATCATGAAAACCTCTTGCAAAAAAACTTATGATCATTTTACACGGATAAATTTCGATCATGAAAACCTCTTGTTATATTCTTATTCATCATTAGAAAAAGCCAGAGTTATCCCCCTGTGCTCCTAGCAACCCGGACCATTAAACGCTCAAACGCGCGAGCGTCCTCGGATCCCGAGGGACAAGTAGGTCCGGTTGTGAAAATTTCAGCGCAAACAAAACCGGGGCACTTGCGCGCGTGCATGCGTGGACTAAGAGGGTACCTTCGTCGCCAGAAGTTGAGGAGTTGTCCTCGGGTTCGGGCGACGACCCTGGAGACCGTCGGCCGCACTCACTACCGGCGCTTCCTCCTCTTCGGCTGTTCTCGTGTTGATACCGGGCTCTCTTCTCGGGAGACACCGATCGAGACTCCCTGGGCTCGGCGGCGCCGCACGTGCGGCCTCGTCGTCCATCTCTCGCTTCGAGTCCGGGCAATCGTTTGCTGAAGTCGGTGGGCATCGCCGGTCGCTTTCTAGGAGTACGTTTACGATTTTACGTCCTCCTCGTGTTTGCCGCACAAACAAATCTTTACTCGTTTCCCTTCCTCGCGACGGATTTCGCGAGACGTGATTTTCAAGGTGATTCTATCGATGTATCGATAATTCGAAAACCGACACGTGTCGCGATATATCGTACACTGGTGTTTTTCGTTTTGCATTAATTTGTCCGTCTCGCATGCGAGTAAGTTTTAATTAATATACTAATTAGTTGTTTTGCGCGCGTCGAAATAAATGTGAAAAGTAAATTGTTGACTGTCGGCGGCGATAATCATCGAGATTGGATGCAAACGATTGAAACAGCGCGATTTTAACGCGAATTCTCCGATAAACCATTTCCATGATTAAATATTTATCGCTTATCGAATCACGTTACGTATTTGTACCTCGAAACGTTTCTGATCGAGCTGGATCGAATTCTATTTGAAATCGTGATATTACGTTCGCGTTGTTGATTTTACACGTCGATGGACGCGTTTAGGCTAATCTCGAGTACCCGATGAAACGGGAATGGGCGGTAAACTGAACTGCACGTTGGGATTTCACTCGGAATGACGCGTGTAATCGATTAATTTCCTCAAACGACAACGTCAAAGTCAGGATAACGTATCGATAGATCCATTGGACAGAGCATCGACCACCGCGACACGAAAATGTCATTCGACACTATTGTTTCGCGAAAATAACAACCCCACGTAATTTTCTGCCTGTCAGCTTTTTCATTAATTAATCGGAAAATGGTCGACTGATACTATAAGAAGGATTTTCATTGCTATTCAGAATGAAAATGTAATAACCATGTAATAATTTTGCAATTGTAAAGAGTAGCTATAAGAAATATTTACGTCATAAATTTAATTACAAAAATGATAGCTTACAATTTTTTGCAATCAAAAAACTTCATCCCGTTTTAATTTAATAAAAACTCACAAACGGCAGAATTTATATCTGACTTATATAAATTTAGAAAAATAGATTAGTCACACGCGAATCAATAAATCAACTGTCTATTCCGAAGAGCTATTTTCTCCGTGACAAGAACCGTGACTCCTTTTTACACGTCAAACCAATTTCGCACCACGCGAGTTCTCAAATTGGCGAAAGGATCGATGGTCGCGGTGCTCGACCGGTCTCTAAAGAATATCGAGAGTAATGAACCAATGTCAGTGGACTCGCACCGGACGTAAACGTACTCCCTGAAGTCGTTCGAGCGCTCGGGCGATCTTTCTGCGGTTGGCTCTTTAGACTCGGTGGCGGCATTTCCGGTTGACGGGGCTCGTCTTCCGATGATGGTGGTCCCTGGATGATGATGGTCTCCGACTCCCTCGTGGCTGGCATCACGGACATTTGCCAGGTCAGCGTTGGCAGCAGTCTTTGCCTCCTTGGCGGGTGATGGCGGCGGAGACGTTGGTGGCGATGGTGATGGACTTCCTGCACGAGCAGAACTGTAGCACACTGCTGCCTTCCGCAGGGTCTCCCTGCACAGCTCGGAGAACATTCTGTCTCCCCCATGGCCGGGGCCCACCGGACCGGCCCGTTTCTCCTTTCTTCCGGCTGCTCTTCGTGGTTTTCTCTTCTCGGGGTCCGCGAAACAGTTACGAGTCTCGTTCGCCGTTCATCGTCGTCTCTTCGCTGATTTCCTTCGTTTCTTCTTTCTTAGACTTCACCGCGACAATTGTGACACTACATCGCGCCGGCACGAATATCGGGAAATCGAAGAACTCGCGGTTTAGGCTAGCATCTGAGAGGTGATCGATAAGATTACAGGATGTTCACAGTATCAGTTCACCTGAGACTGGCTCGTGTATCAGTTATCGTTTTACTATTGATATATTAGAAGAAGAAAACAGATTATAAGAGGAGACAAGGAAGATGTTTGAAATCTTCGAGTATGGCACGATTTATTTTTTGATCAATCGAAATTACATTTGGTTTTATCTCAAGTTTCCTATCAGATTCTTATTATATATTGCTCGCTTAAATACTTTATTATAATTTTATGATTTCATCAATTTTTATATGATAAAGTCTGCAAAAGAGAAGGGCATGAAAGTTAATTCTGAATTTCCATAAAAATCATTATTCGAAAAAAAACCTTCAAGTTTTTCTCGGTTTCTCCGATAAATCAAAATTGCATCTGAATATTTCAAGTTTCCCATCATGTTTCTACCCACTATACTGCTATGCATTTTTATAAGTACAGTAAACCTCTATATAGCGCATATACTGCTATATAAAGATTCGTACAACGCGGCAAAAAGATTATGACAGGTCTTATACAACGCGTTAAATCACTCTGATATAACACGATAGATAAACTTCACATTTTGTATTTCTTTCATGCGAGAGACAACATATTTTCGAAATTTGTACAACCTACACGAGTATATCGTATGACGCGCAACATATTTCCCACGTTCTTCTACTACAATTTATCACGTTTTTATACTCATTTATCAGTTCACGTGACATAAGAAAGAAAAGCTAATCCTGAATTCTTTCGGAGTCATTGTAACACATGATTCTAACATAAGCGGCGATCGAGAAATCTCGCGGACACCACAACAAGAATAAGGACGTCGGTTGTGGACAGATGAGAGACGAATGCATCCCCGATATAGACCATAGCGGTGTTAGTTAGCGTGGGGTGTACGGCACGAACCATAATAAAATGTCTGGCCGGTCGCCAGCCGTTTGCAAAATTTACAACCTCGGCCGCGATAGTCCCGGCAAACGTGAAATGTCGCGTAGAGAACCTGTATAAAGCGGGATTTCGTGACGTTCCCCGAGCGTACGAGGAAGGAGGTACCGCGGCGCTATCGATTTGCATTACGCTAAAATTACGCCGCATGCTGTTAATTTAGTTCACCGCGTGGGCATTCGTGGTATTTCCACCGCAAACGCGGGTACGAATATACGTCGGACCCGTTATATGATTTATGTCGCGTATTGAAAATCATCAAAGAGGGTTTAACGACTCCGCGTCCGTGTGTTCTCGTTAAATTGATTATTCATGAAAGCACATTAACAATGTACGATCGAATAATAATGGCTGATAATGCGAGACCAAATCATTAGACTAATGCTGCACTCAACATAAAACGACGACTTATTTAGATATGTATGTATATAAATTTTAGGATAATAAATTATAACTGTTAACATATATGTTGTATATATTTTATGTACTTCATCAGTGATATGTATTGATAATGCTCTCGATCAAATGAGTTATTCGATAAATATTTTAGAAAAAACTTTAAGTATATTCACTAGCAAGATATTTTTAAAACTTTCTACATTTCTACGCTTACAAGATTATGTTTGTGTACATTGATTACGTAATGAACGAAAGAAAATAATCAGTTCACGTGAATAGGCTCGTTGAAATGATACCGTAACGAATATACAGTTTTATATTAATATTTGATTCAATTGACCGTAAAGATTGTATATTCGATTATTAAACTGTACGTGCTCGAACATTAATCGCGCGCTGTAGAATCGTGCGTTTATCTACCTGGCTAGCACACAATCGCTCGATTATTCGAAATGTCAATGCGCGCGTTAATGAGAGAGAATCATGATAAATGCAAAATCATCTGTTTTCCCTCGCGTTATCAACCTAGTTTAACGCGGATAAACGAGGATGACCGATATTCTCGCGATAGCTCTCTCGCGTTATGCATTAACGTGCGATAAGCAGAAATTTTCAGGACGTACTCATGAGGGAGCGAATTAGGAAGTTTTGCGAAAACGCGGAGGGAAAATAGTATCTATGTACTCGTTCGAAGGACTTTATGATTTATCGTTCCACGTACAAAAACCCTTTCGGCATGCGCACTTAGCATGCACATAATTCCGTCAAATGTATTGTTGCCAATTCGGAAGAAACAAGATGGATGAGACTGCCCCAATACGATGAGTTTCCAATCGCGTTGAAGAGAATTCTATTACTTTTCTCAATATTAATGAAGCAAGCATTCTCCTCATTGTTTATCATGTTTGTCTTCGGAAAACAAATTCAGAAAGAAACAGAATATTATCGTAAAAAGAATATTTATCAAATTAATTAATGCTTATGCTTTGCATTCGAGCAATTCGATTCTGCAGAAATTTTTTCTCGGAAAATTTCAATGAAACAAATTCAAAAAAAAAAAAAAAATAATATTATCGCAAAAAGAATATTTATCAAATTAATTAATGCTTATGCTTTGCATTCGAGTAATTTAATTCTGCAGAAATTTGTTCTCTGAAAATTTCAATGATTTTGATTTTTCATCTAGACCTTCGATATTAAATTCAGTTAGAAGGAAGAAAGAGAGAGAGAGAGAATCTCCGAACGAGCTTCGCGAGATTGTCGTAAAGCTTAACAGAAATATTAAATATTTTCTCTCGACACCTGTGATCTCTCGTAGGGCTACGGCGCGAGAAAACCGGAAGCCGACTTCGTTGCGACGAGCAACTGTGTTTGCTGGCTAAAGTGATTCACGTTTACGCGTGAAAGCAATCGCCAACCGGCCTTGCCGATCGACAAACGAACGCACCATCGAGCTTCTGTCAGAGTCAGACGTGCGTGGGCACAATAACGCGTCATTCTCTCGGCATCTGGAAAGACAGTCTCATTTTCACACACACACACACACACACACACATATGCATCGCGACGAGCATTCGTAACGTGTACCTTTCATTTTTTTTATTTATGTCGGTGAGAGAATGACTGTCTATAAATATGACAGAAAAGCGACGGTGCTGTCTAGATAAGTTATTTACGCGATGTGCGAACAATAATAGCTGGACGAATAAAATAAAAATTGCTCGAGGCACGTTTAGGAAAGACGCATTTCCAGAATAAAACGGACAATTAGAGGAAGGACGAAAGCGAAAGGTATTTATACGCGAGAACAACGTACATTCGACGGAAAACAAATGGACGGCAAAGATAAACTCTGACAAAAGCTGTTACCGCAAACACAGCAGCTACGAGAGAGCAGCTCTAATTTCGACGTCAAACCTATTATTTGGCGAACTTCGTGAGAATCGCTTAATACTCGTGCTTAGGACTCTGAACGTATGTGAAGGATAAATGGGGAGGCATATGCGATACGACCGAAATTCATTATGTTAATTACCATCGCCCGAGGCGAGGACGGGCATAAGCCGAATTGAATAATGAAACAAAGGCAGCGGAATTAATTTTATTCCGTAGACGATCGGATATGGCTTTTACATTAAATTGCGAATCATTATAATGGATGTGAAAAGATTTTAATAATTACATTCACGCGCTCTATTATTAGATATGTATCGGAGAGATCCAATTAGACAAAAAAGATTGAACACTTTTATTAAAACATATTTTTTATTAATATATTGTGTGCTACTTTGGCATAAGTAATATATTTATATAGATATTGACTACATGTCTTAATCCGGCATCAAAGCTGTAAGATATCGCAATTTAATATAAGAGATGAATATATATATTTCTTGAGATGCATTAAATTCTAATTATTCTACAAGCCCTTCCAGAATTTCCAAATCAGTGGTATGAATTAAAAGCTAATTTTTCATCAAGATGTTACTCTGTAACAAATTTTATCGCGGAAGTTATTTCTTCGTTTTACAATCCTTGACATCCCAATCGTCACTTTAATTTTAAATAAATTCTCAGTCGGATTAGCGCACGAAAGTCGGCAGAAATCGATTTTAATGGCTTAACTCGAAACTTTGATTGCGAATTCTATTTGGAACGCCCCGGGTATCCGGTTGCTTTCCGGAAAATTGTGCCTGCCAAAACACGTTCGATCGTCAGCCACGGAGAGAGAGAGAGAAAAAGAGACTCTGCGAGGGTGGAAACAAAAAGTTGCCCGGAAAGGACGACGCTACGACGCCGATAAAGGATGTAACCTTGCGTCCTCTTCGTGCTATTGCAATATTTCGCTGGTGAATGACCATTTTTTTAAACTAAGATATTAAGATATTTCAGGTTGAAAATTTAACAAATTAAACTAAGAAAAGAAAAAAATGTTACCTAGGATAAGTTTTGTAATAACTGTATTAAATGATGTGCATACATTCGCGCGTGATTTATATCTGTTTAACAAATGATACGTGACAAGATATCGACGTGTTGATCGCAGGAGGTTGAGAGAAAGGTCAAAGTTCGATCGGATTAATTGCGAAATTAACCAATCAGCTGTCGGAATCATCTAAATCCTGCCTAATCCTGCTTAAATCCTCGATTAAGATTAGGTCGGTGTTGTATGTGTGTGTGATTGAAATTGTATCTAGGTAATTTCGATCATAGTAACAACGTGACGTAATCTCTTCAAATGGGATTTTTTAGCTGAGTAAATTATTTTATCTTCCTACAACAATTTAATATAACTAGATTCTGACATACGTTCATCCAATAAGAAAAAAGATGTTTTCATAAAGAGTGCAAAAACATGCAAAATGCAACTTTAAAAAATTTCTACTATCGTTTCTTTGATGAATAAAATAACTGCGAAAAAATTAGCGATATGAATTGTATTTTCGTTTATTTTGATTGAAAAGTAAACTTTATAAAACTCTTTTTGATATTTTATAAAAAAATTTAACATGTAAAATTAAAAGAGAGAGAGAAAGATATGTACAACAGCCACGTGACTATAATTCTGTAAATTATATCTTGTTTTGCTGAAACATTCTAGTACTTGTTTCCATTAATAAAATGAAATTTTCAGAGAATCTCACGGTAAAAGAGCAAAAAAATTCAAAATTGAGTTGGTAATTTAATCAAAGTTACTGTGGAAAATATATTATATTCATAAAATAAATAATACATTTTCAACATTAAGAGATTAGTGCATATTATATCTTTCACAAATAAAACAATTAACCTATACTGAATAAGCACATACTTTTATAGAGCTTCGTCAGATTCACAATATAACGATCTAACCAAATATAGAACAATCTCCAAAATACAAATCGCACCGTTTGGATCACATTTAATCTTGGACTTGGTGAAAAGTTCTCAGACATATTCGAAACAACGCAAGTTATCGCTCGATGCAACGAGAAGCTTTAATCCGCATTAAAACGAGCCAGTCGCAGCGGACTGTAACGAGAGCGAAACAGGAGGGAACAGAAGGAGAGACACCTTGATCCGGACGCGTGAATGTTGCGTCCACCGCGTGGTGAACCGACACGCCATCGCGACAAGCGAACCCGGGTGTGCGAGAGATGGATTGATCACCTGCGCACCGGACGGTCTCCAGGCGAGAACTGAGCCTGCGAGAGAGGTGCTTACGCCGGAACGACCCCCGTCTGGAGAGGGTGGCGTGCGCGGAAGAGGGTCGAACTACCCTCCGAGGTCCGATGTATGTTGCTCGGTTAGTACGTGCGTAGTACATCGCCGGAAAGAAAGTCGTCGGGGAGAATGCGGAGGATAGGAAAGGCGAAGAAGGGATGAAATAAGAGGGAGGATCACGTATACGGTCGGTGCGTGCGTACGTAGTATAGTAGACCAAGAGAGAGGACTTGGAGGGAGAGAAGATGGACGGGAGAGCCGGAAGGGTGATCGCGAGATAAGGCGGGAAGAACGGGGGAGAGGAAGGCATTTGCTGGTGGTGATGGTGGCGCTGCTGTTGCATCGATCAGCCACCGCCACCACCTGCAACCCTCTCCCGAAATGGTCAACCCATCTGTATTGCGGCGCGCGTTCTTGTCACCTCCGATTCGGCCGTGCCGCTTAATTCCATGGTGATCTTCGACCTCTGCCTTCATTTATCCTTTGGTCATCATCATTCCCCTCGTCCGGGTTCTCTTCGGACCGTGAGGTTGATTTATTATTTTCGCTTCGAGTTTTCGCCCCGTCAGCGCGAGCGCTTTCGCGTGAGCCAGCGTTTTGTATCGCGTCGACGATCATCGCGATTCGGCGGAGAATTAGGTGACCTCGATCGTTCGACAGCTTCGAATTGATATTTTGGGCCTCAACACTTTTATCGTGTATTAAGTTTAATTCGATATCAGAGTTTTTTGCGTCGAGTCTTAGATGTTTGGTCCTTTAGACGAGTTGGAAATCATTTCAAGGTAGAAAACTGACATAAGACAAAACGCGGGAATTCGCGAGGGTTAATTCTCGAGGGATCTCAAAGTGGAGATTTAGGATAGAAAAGGGCTGACAGTTCCCGTGGACGTTCTGCCATTCTTACGGTCCACGACGTGGCCCTTGAAGATCGATAACCTTGAACGCGAGACGCCGTAGCAACGTGCTCGGGAGCTTCTCTACGATTTCCCTGACGTATTATAGCAAATATCACGAAGCGGATTTACAGAAACGTTCTCTTTTTCGGGAAATTGTCCGACGGTAAAATCACGTTATTTCTCTATCGCGGTGAACTCGTCGCGATAAAATCCGCCCTTAAATCGTTATTCTCCCTTTTACAATACTTAAAGGAGACGCGAATATAACCTCGTAAAAATAAAAGCTTACAAGCCGCCTTTTATTTTACGATAGCTATAAAACATCAATTCAATAAGAGGAAAAATAACGGGTCGCATAAAAATTATACACAAAGTTTCAGAGCAACAAATGAACGTAAAAGTCATCTAAAGCAAAGCGTTATGCCAAAATCTCCAAGAGTGATTAAAAAACAATTTTTTTTTTTTTAATTTCCGTGTACGCAATATTGGCGGAAAATCAATATAATGCCTTTAGGGCGTTGTCCCACTTTTCGAATTTCGGAATTGTGTTTTTTTTTTTTTCCAAATATCTATTCTCTATATCGTGTTCACACGCGAGCGATGCGTTTCCGAACATCAACCCTCCGAATTCATCGACATTGCTGACGTGGGCGACGTGACGCGGTTCTGCGTACGTGTCTCCCCGAAATTCCGTGCGCGTCTGATAACGTGGGAAGATGGCCAATTCGTGAAACCAGACTAATCGGAATCCCTTGCGCCGCATGAAGCCGACGTTTTCGCGCAAGAAACATCGCCGTCTCTTCTCCCGTTCTGCTGCTCATCTCGGAGGAATCCCCAGGGTGGCTCCGGCTACACGACTTTACTCTCGATCTTTCTGTCTCAACCCGGAAAATTACATCCCTACCGGATATAACACGATGACGATTTGCGCCCGGGGCAATTAGTTTTATATCAAACGCTTGGGTAAACTTGGAAATGTTCGAGGTTAAAATATTTCGTCATTTTGCAACGGGAATATTTCTCGGTTAAATGCCAAACCATCTGTAATATTCTCGCGACGTAATTTATTAAGACGTCGCAATAAGTTGTTGTTTCAATGCTTATCTCAGAATTGTGGTACGTTTGTACAAGCTATTCTCTCTTTTTAAATGACAATTTATTTTTATTTTTTATTCTTTTATATATAAATATAAATTTAATCTAGTTTTTTCTTATAAAATGTACCATTATATTCTATTAGCCGAGAGTAAACCAAAATAAAATATAATCTTTTGTAGCAATTATACATTATGAAAGAAAAACAAATATGCCCTTTAATAATTAATGCATTTTAATAAATAGAAAAAAAAATTTTTTTGTTCTCAAAGAAAAGATTGACCTCGTTTAATTAATAATTTCTGGTAATCCTTGTGTTATTGGATGCTGAAAATATTTAATTGGGAAAGTTTTTCCGCATCCACAGAAGAAGCTCCGAAAAGGAGCTTCGCGAGATATGATCATCAGTCACCCGATGAATTAGTCATCGAGTTTCGAATCTCATAAGTTTAAAGTCCTTATCGAGGTCCTATATGATCGTCGAATCGGAGACGAGTACTGAGGTAAGTTAATTATCGGGGATTAATTTCAACGCCGGGAAAATGTCTACCGGAGAGGAATGTGATTTCTCTCGAATTTCGTTATCGCCACGAAGAAAGCCCGGAATGGGAAAATAAGGAGCACTTTCCAGCACTTAAAGTGCTTTCGTGTTTCTCATTCCACTTTGCTCTCTTACGAACTTTCTTTTTTTTCGACGATTATATTCATTCCACCGTCATTACATAACGATAAAAATACACGACAACGATGTCTAATAAAATTATTATTATATCAATATTATAATCTATCCATATTAAATTTCGGTTTATATCGCTCTCAGCGTTTTAGTCTTTAATTTTCTCACATCTCTCGGTGAAACACAAAAATGTTATACATATTGTTACTAATATTTTTCTCTGTTAAAAACGCGAAATGAAAAACACGCACCTCTCTTCCCGTCAATTTCACTTAAATTCCACTGGCCTTCGCCGAAATCACATTCTTCCACTAAATGGAAATCAATTGAACGGGGCGTTGTATCCACTCTGCCCGTCCACGTCGCCGCGCCCTCGTTCACTAATCCCTGCCATATCGAGCTTCCGCAGGAGCAGGTTCCCTAGCCTTGTGTTCCGTTTCTACTGCTCGCACACCGATCTTTCGCACGGTCACCGAAGGGCGACATGCACTGTTGCTCTTGCAGTCGTGCGAATCGACCGATGTCGGATTCTCGACTATTAGCCACGCACGTATCAGCTCGCATTTCATTCGAGTTGAGTCGCGATTTCGTCGACCTATATTCTTGGACATTCAAAGACGAAAGAAAATAATGTAACGAAATTTGAGCTATTTAATATCTCATGTACTTAATGTCATTTTGTGTGTGTACGTACTATGTGCGAATTATGTAATTCGTTTCAGATTCTTTCTTTTTTTTTCGTCGTGAGTTAATAATTAAAAGTCATCTTAAAACAACTGTTTTCGACACGACGACTCTTTCGGAAAAGTATAGTAGATCTCTGGACTTGAATTATATAGATTCCCAAGAGTTCGAGGCGAGAGTTTTTGTCGAGGCTGGTTGATCTCTACTGGGATTCAGAGTTTGAACGTAGATCGATGGATGGAATCTTGTGTGCAAGCTGATTTCCCGAGAAGACTCTAGCTCATATAGTATTCAGTTCCAAAAGTGAATGCGCGATCATTTTTTTACCATTATTTAACATCCAAAAATGTCCAAGAATCGAACACGAATGACTTATAGATAAAAGGAAATGAATAAATCAACGAATTTAATATTCGGGATCTTTGAAAAACTTGAATCTCAGATACAGAAATAACAACGACGATATTTTTTCGCACATTTTCATACTCATTTTTCGAAAGGATACCGTCGAATAATTGACATCTCTCGTGGCACGAAGCGAAGAGAACAGAGATAAAAAGCGATGGAAGAGAACCGAGGGGGAAAGTGCCAAATAGAAATTGCCTGAATGCTACGCAATTGCAGTTGCAGCTGCTGTCATACTGAAGTAGGACGAACGTTTTCCCCGACTGCGTAAATAATAAACGATTCCTCGCGTCAGATGCTTTAGCGCGATATACGAGCTCTCCCATGAGGAGGAAATTCTTCTTCGCTGGAGTAAGGCGATTTGGAGGATGGACAGTTCACTCGTCCGCTAATGCTCGAGTTACCGAAATTATGGCGCACGCGTGCGTGCTTAGAAACGGGTAAAATTGAGCGAATCCGTTCACTCTTCCGAGTTCGGACTGGCTGATCTTTAACGCAAAAATACGCGGAGAGTGTATATAATCGTGTAGGCGAAAGAGGGTCGCTTCATCAAAACTGAGGATAAGAACTTTTGACAGAAGTTTCAGCAAACTTCGCCGAGGATATATGGCAAACTCAACGAGATGATCTCTGCGAGGCATCGGCACACATATTCATACATATTGCACATTATTACATAAGGAAGAAATTATTCAAAAACTTGGAGCGGAACAAGCACACATAAAACCGCGATAGCGGTAATATATTCTTACCAATAATGTGTGTGTGTGTGTGTGATATTCGTGTTAGAGAATTTTTCATATTAAGATGCCTGTAAAATTTATATTTATCTGATACTCACAAATACGATTAAACACAGATTTCATTATATTGCTCAATATGTATTTCACATAATGGAGAACGTAGAAAATCTTTTTGAGATAGTATTATATATTATAAGAATGTGTTTAGTAATTTAATACAAAATTTTTAATTTCACATACAAAAATACAAAAACAAATAGAGATAAGTTCTCTTTAAAAATATTCTTGTAAAGGGAGGATAATAAAAGTAATATTCCCTCGCTTTCGATAAAAATTTCCAGGATATCGGCCCGTAAGGTTTCAATCGCCGGAAGTGGAATGAAAATTCCATCGAAATACTTTCTCGTAAACTCAATGACGCGTTCCGTGTACAGCATTAACGATCGGTTCGATATTGCTCGTTACCGTGACCCTTTTA